TTCAGTCATGTTTATTACAGTTTCATTAAGTTGTTTATCTTTAACTTTTTCATATAATTCAGGATGAAGGAATTCAGTAATAGATTTAATAACTTCTGCTCTTTTAGTGAATTCGTCTAATTCAATATCATCAATAGTATTAAATTCTAAAAATTCTTGTTGTTCATTTATTTTCTTTAAAAATTCTTCTTTCTTTTCATTTTCAAGACTTTCATTTTCAATAACTTCTTTTTTTAATGAATATAAAGTTGATTCAAAGTTATTAATCATTTCACCAATTTGTTTAAATGATTCATCAATATCATCAAACCATTTTAATATTTCTTTTGATCGTTGATAATTTCTACTCATAAAACTAATTAATGGATGATATAATATAAAGAAATTAAATCTACTTGTTTCATTCTTAGCACATTCAAAAATATGCTCTTCCCATTCAACTTTTGGTGTTATTTTTGTTTTCTTTGTTTCGTTATGATTTTCTGTTTCATTATTATTAATTTCTTCTTCTTTAATTTCAATCCTTTCTTCATTTATTTTTTCTTTACCATTTTCAATAATTTCTTCTTCAATTTCAATTTCTTCTTTAATACTTTCCTTTTCTGTTTTTGGTATATTTTCTGTTGAATTATTTTCTGTTTCATTTACTTCTTCTGTAACATTAATAACTTTATATTTCTTTTCAGTACAATTAGTCCATGCAGTGTATTTCATTTCACTTTTAGAAATATCAACTAATCCATATGAATTTAATTTAAATGTTAAACTAATATCAATTCCCCTTTCATTTAATGTTTGATTTAAATTAAATTGATTTCCAATACCTACCATATATGCAACTTTATCTTTACTTCCCATCATTGAATATGAAATTGTAAAATTAAATTCTTTAGTATTATTAACTTTATTAAATGAAACTGTTCTCATTGAATCTACTTTCCATTTATGACTAAATAATTTAAATTCTTTATCAAGATATGGTGAATTAATATACCAATCAATTGGTACAAAATCTTTAATTTTATATTGCTTTTTCATTCTTCCAAGTCCTTGCATTAATGCATAATATGCTGCTCCAAATGCTCCACCTTCTTGTGCATCTACATTTCTATTAATTTTTTCTTCTCCAAAATATTCTGTAATAGTTTTTAATACCATTGGAACTCTCATTCCTCCTCCAAGTAATTGTACCATATTTATATCTTCTTTTTTGATTCCAATAAATTCAATTGCTTCTTCAAGAATATTATCTAATCTCTTTCTTACTTCTTCACTTGCTTCTTCAAATTCTTTTAATGTAATTGGTGTTGACCAATCAATTCCTCCTGGTAAAATAACTTTAACATTAGTTTCTTTATTTACACTTAAAACTATTTTTGCTTTTTCTGATTGTTGTAAAATTTGTCGATATAATCCTCCTTTTTCATCAGAGACGTTTACTTGATTTTGAATTCTTTTGAAAACAATATCAGCAATTACTTTATCAAAATTATGTCCTCCAAAATATGGTGATGTGTAATATCCTAATGCTTTGATTGCTCCTGTTGTGTTTGACTCTGAACTAAAATTAAATACTCCAATATCTACTGATGTAGCTCCAATATCAATAAATAATACATTTGTTGGTACTTCAAATAAATCCCTATTCACAGCTAATGAACTGGCAAATGCCATTGGTGAATTAACTAATGCAATTGGTTGAAGTTTTGCTAATTTGGCTGCATGTACTAATGCATATCTCTCAATTGGTGTACTTGATGGTGAGACAGTTAATATCCCATCAGTTACAGTTGTTTGGTATTGTGTTTTAACATGTTTCAATTGTCTTTGAATTATCATAGCAGTAACTTCTTCTGCTGATAATGTAATATTACCTACTTGATACACTGGAGGACTAGACATTCGAGTATTATTTTGTGGAACTATTTCTGATGGAATGAAAGATTGAAGGTACTATACAGTTAGTTTAAAATTTACTACTTTTTGATTAAAAATAATTCTATCATTAAAAAAAGATGAAATGTTAATATCTTATTCAGAAAAATAAATCAGAACATTTGTTTTGATTATAAAAGTCAGAACACAGAGTTTTTTTAATATGATTGAGATATGACAAGTAATCAAATGAGTAAATAAAAACAAACTTCTAGAAAAGGATCATTGAATGATTTTCCAATTAATTTATTTGAATACATAAAAATTCTTTTTGGTGAACTAAATGCTAATTTTTGAGCTTTTGTACCAAAAACTCTTCTATTGCTTAAGTCAAGACCAACTAATGTAGGATCTTTTCTTTTAGACTCTTCATTTTCTACAATATCTACTTTCTTTGGTCCAATAAAAGCAGTTTTTGTAAATTGTGTACCTACGTCCATTCCAACAATAGCAGCAAAAGAGACTGCAAGAAGAGAAAAAAATACAAGTATTAACTTGATATTGTGTGTCATTAAAAACTAAAAAAATTAAGTTCAAAGAAAAAATTAAAAACCCTTGAAGAACTTACAAATGTTATTCAGCTTGCCACATGGTTTGTTTACATCTTTTTTAAATAGTAAGTAATTAAAGTAGATTATTACTTAATTGTTATTCACTTTAAAAACAATAATAAGAGTACTTACAATTAATAGCCATTAATCGAAGTTGACTTGTTGAACCCAACTGCTGCTTCTGAGGCTAAAGCTCACAAGATGAAGAGATTAGTCCCAACCCCAAACAGTTACTTCCTTGAAATTAAATGTCCAAAATGTGGAGCTACTACTACTACTTTCTCTCATGCTCACAGACAAATTGTCTGTCAAAAATGTGGACAACCACTTGGACAACCAACTGGTGGAAAGTTGAAACTCACCCAACAATGCAAGTTCAGAATTAAGAAATAAGTGATAGCTTGTGTGGTGTATTCTAATGAGAATTTAAACAATTGGTTTTAACATTTTGATGAAGTGACAATAAGAAAAAGGGTTTTCAATAATGGAAAAGAATAAAAAATAATGTTTTAGGTTAAAAACACAACAATAAATATTGTTTTATAAATTTTTGTTTTAAAAAAGAAGATGAAATGAACTAAATATCAAACAGAATGACTAGTTCTGAAGAAACATTTGCTACTATTGTTGATTGTATGGGACCTATTTATTTACAATATGCAACATGGATGAAAATGAAAAAATTAGATAAAGAAATTGGTTCAATGGAAAAATCCTTGAATCGTCAAAATTTAGAAGTTGTTTGTAGACATTAATTCATTTAGACAAAAGTACTTAATCAAAATAGCTATTGGAAAATGAAGTATATAGAGCATGTTTAGACCAAAATGATTTACTTGAAAAAGGTTTGTTAAAATTGATATTTATTAGACTTAAAACAAATTATTTATTATCTAGTTAATAACATAAGTTCAAAGAATCCAAGGGGATGTAAAGATGAAGACAAAAAAAGTAAAGAAATAAAAGAAACAAAAAGAGCTAATGCAAAGATTGTTGTTGATGATGCTAATGAAAAATTAATTGTTGAGATAAATGAAAATACTAAATTACCATTATTCCTTGGAAGAGAAGGAAAAGAATTTAAAGAAGATGGAACATTTATCAATTTAAGACCATTTACTGATTCAAAAACAGTTTCACATCTACATGCCCAAATTGATTATGACCCTAAACAACGAGTTTATCAATTATTATCAATTGGTAGAAATGGAACACATATTGATGGGGTTGCACATGTTAAAGAACAAGGAGAATGTCCTCTTATTGATCGTGCTATGATTCAAATTGGTGGTTTTAGAATGAAATTCGTGTATTGTTAAA